TGTATTGTTTTGTATTCCCCCCAGGGATGTATGAAAGTTCCAGCTGCTTCACATCCTCGCTAGCAGTTAGGCTAGGTACTGCCAGGCTTTTATTTTGTTTTGTTTTCTACTTTTACCCATTCCAATAGGTGTAATATCTCATTGAGGTTTTAATTTGCACGTGCCTAATAACTAATGGTGATGAACACCTTTCCATGTGCTCATGTGCCACCCTACAGCCATGGCCAGCTCTCTTCCTCTGGGGGTACTGACATGTTTCCGTTACATCCTAGGATGCAGCACACCCCGTGGTACACAGTGGACACTCAGTAAACAGTTATTCAATGGATGATTGAATGAAGTATGGGGCCAACCAGAGGAGTGCAATGGGAGATACAGGTGGAGAGTTCAGGGGCCAGAACTTAACTACCAGAGAATTTTAAGCCTTATCCTCAGGCAGTTGGGAGGCCCTGAAGAGTTTCAAACAAAAAATAATGGAATAGGATTTACATTTTTTTTTAATATCATACTGGACGTAGCATAGAAAATGGATCAGAAAAGGAGTGATGCTAGTTAGTAATGAGGCTAATGAGAAGACCCATTGAAATTTCCCAAGCAAGATATGATGGACTAAAATACAGATTTAACAGTAGGGGCAGGAAGCAAGAGGGCAGATACAAGAGATATTGAATCAACAGGACATCATTTGTCCTAACATCATGTGAGTTTGAAAACTTCTGACCAGTGTATATCATCATGAGAGGGAATGGAACAAATGTGCATCATATCATTCTTCCTCCTAGACCTCAAGCAAACTTACACACACCTCCTCCTAAATATCCCCCAACTACTCCTCACAGCCAACTCCTCCCTTTTCTAAAAAAGTGTCCACTTGCTTCTTCCACTTCTTCATGTCTGTTTTATGAGTCTTGAACTTGAAGTGTAAAGAAATCACAATTAATCTTGAAACAGAAGCCCAAGTACATTCTACTAGAGTTAACTACATTGTTAAAATGAAGTAGGTAATGTAATGATCCATGTAGGAGAGATTCAACACATGTATCAAACTAGCAGTCTCCTCTTTTATTGCTGCCCAATCAAATCCTTTAAGTCACTTCTCCCTGCCCTTATCTGCTCACTCAACAATTCTCCAGATGCACACAAACATTGACATTTGAAGTGTCAGGAACTCAGGGCATATACAATTAGGATGTGGCCGTGCAGGCATCAGCTTTCAGTGGACTCTCTCAGAAAGCAAAAGAAAGTGTCAGGAAGTGGGTATTGCCCATAAAATATCATCTACTAGGACAGTATGAAATTTTGGGGGAGACATTTATTATAGTCCTAATTTAAGAGCCTTTGAGACAGTGCCTTTGGTACTACTCTTTTTCTGCCACCTATCTTTGCAGCCTGGTTCACTATTAACGTAACAACAGCTAGAAGGGTCTAGTCCCAGCTCTGCTATTCATAACTCGAAAAGTTACTTAATCCCTCTGGCCCCAGTGTCCTCATCTACAGGTAAGACTGGAATAGAACAATATCATCTTTTCCTGATTAAATGAGATCCTGGAAAAAAATAAAATAAAATAAAATAAAATAAAATAAAATAAAATAAAATAAATGAGACCCTGGTCATAAACCTAATTTCGGAGGAAACATCCTAATTTATAACCATTGATCTTAGTGAACTAGAGTAATAAATGTCTTTCTAAAGATTTAAAAGAGTGAATCCTCCTTTAGTGTGCTAGTGGAGCAAAACAATACTTTAGTTGATCCATTTATAACTAATCAGAGCTAGGAAAAAAAAATCTGGTGTCTGTTAACAAAGTACCTTTTAAAAAGAAATATACAAATGTATATTTGCATGTCAGCCACGGCTAAATGTTTTGCTACCTAAATGCCAAACAAAAGAACTCTAATTACTCTTAAATTCTTTTCAGCCATCATACCACCTCTATCACTCATTTAATGAAATTTCCAAAACCCTCTCTAAAAGAAACTTCAACACACACACATACATATTAACATTTTAGATTCTGGAGTGGTATGAATTATGTAACCTTTTCCACACAATAATCTCCAGTAAAGAATTATCTTATAGGGTCTGTTAAACTTCCAGAATGTAGAGATGTGATTTCAAGAGACATAATTATTAGAACAAAATCCTGTTACAACAACATCAGATATAATTATGTAGATATATATTTAGGTATAGTTATGCAGGCTTTGTAATAAGATTGCACCAGTCCTCACCAGACAAAATCCAGGACCTAAACATTTATTTGACCTTAGGATGACATGAAGAAAAAGTTTTAGCATTATCTGTGTCATATTCAGACATAAAACATTTAAATTTTTTACACATTCAAATCTGTTCACTTTTTTCCCCTTTATTATTTCCAGGTTTCCAGAATGTCTTAAATTTTTTTCTAAAATTAAGTGAATATTCTATCAACTTTTCTCCTAATATTTTTATTTTTTTACATTTAAGTCATTGTAACTGGAGATTATTTTCTCTGTATGTAAGAAAGGAATATGAGTTTCTGTCCTACATAAAAAATGTTAATTATACCAGCATCATTCAATAAATAAATCATCCTTCCTCCCTGAATTGAAATATTACTTTTATGTATCAGGTTACAATATATTCTTTGAACTATTTCTGGACTTCATTCATTGTAACAGATCCAAGGATGTTTGTTGTAGTATTTTTTATGTTTACAAAACTGGAACAAAACTAGGATGTCTATCAGTAGGAGAATGCATAAATAAATTATAAGACACCTACATCACTTACAAAACAAGACCATGTACTAGACCATAAAGGTAACCTCAATAAATTCTATGTCTCCAACTATAATGCAACAAAATCAGAAATTAAAAACAATATTTCCTTAAAAATATTATAAATATTGAAATTAAAAAGCATATTATAAAATAATACTATGTTTTGCAACTTTTTTGCAAGGTTTTAAATAACATTTGATTTAAAAGAAAATTAATATTTAGAATTAAATGATAATGAAGCACTATACGTCAAATTTTGGAGGACACAGCTAAAGCACTATTAAAGGGGAATTTATATTTTTAAACATATTTACTAGAAAATAAGAAGATTATAACCAAATGAGATAATTCAACTCAAAAAACTGGAGAAAGCCTAACAGAACAAATTTTATTTTAAAAAGCAAGAAGGAAGTGTAATCTTGATTACATTATCAGGTAAGGACGTGATAAGAAAAGAAATTTGTAGGCCTCTTTCACTTATGAATATAGATAAGGTAGAAACCTTAAATAAAATAATAGCCATTTGAAACCTGGTCAAATAAGGTCTATCCCAAGAATGCAAGGATGATTCACTATATGGCAATTTATCAAATTCATCCACCTCACTAGAAGGCTACAGGAAGCAAATTGCACTATCTCAAATAATGAAGGAAAAGCTTCTGATCAAACTTACCACTTACGGCTTTTTTAAAAAAACCCTAGCAGACTAAGACTAGAAGCAAAATTTCTTAACTTTGTGAAGATTATATACCAAAATTTTCAATAAATATATACTTAAGAGGGAAACTTGAAATGCATTCCCTTTAAGACAAGAACAAGATAAGGATGCCCTCTCTCACTATAGCTGTTGATCATTACAGTGAAAGTCCTGCCCAATCCTATAGGAAAAGGAAAAAAAAGTAAAAGGAATTAGAAGGAAAAGGGGAGAGATAAAAATGCTATTATTTGCAGATGATCATCTATGTAAAAAAAAAAACTAACAAAATACCATTAGAATAACAGAGCTCAACAAAGTTACAGAATAAAAGAGCAACATATAAATCAATAGCAATGTTCTACATCAGGAATTGGAAAACTAAGACCCTGAGGACCAAATCCCCACAAAAATCTGTCTTGGTAAGCCTCCACCAACTAATAATTTTTACATTTTCAAGAGTTGTAAAAAAAGAAAAAGAATACTCAACAAAGACTTAATGTGACTACAAAATCTAAAACATTCACTATCTGGTCCTTTATAGAAAAAATGTGCCTATTTCTGGTCCAAACCAAGCATAATCAACTAGAAAAATCTACCTTTAAAAAATAGGGCACAGTTCACAACAGCAACAAAAATTGTAAAATATCTAAGAAGTAACTAAATCAAGAATCCATAAATCCTTTGTGGGAAAAAAATTTAAACTTTAATAAAGGATGTAGAAAATGATCTGAAATAATGGGGAGATATTCCATTCTCTTGGATGGATTGCCTGCATTTTCCACAAAATTAATCTACAAAATCGGTGCAATTCCAACTGAACTTTTTAAAGAACTCAGTGAACTTATTCATAAAATTCATACAGAAGAAATATCCAAAAAAAAATCAAGTGATTTTTATAAAGAATTAAAGAGGGGAACTTAGTTTAGCATTTATTAAGATATAAAATGTCAGTATGATAAATGCAGTGTAATATATCCATGAGAAAAAATAAATATCTTATTTCACCAAATCTGAGACACTTTTTGATATCCCATCATTTTATAAAAGGGGAGGAAAATTTAAGAAAGGAAAACTACTGTTTTAAGTATGACACAATGTATTCTTATCGTGTAAAATTTTATTTTACACTTTTGCAAATGCTCTTAGACTTACTTGGGATGATTTTTTAAAATATTATCCTTGTCATATATAAAGAGAAAGAAAATATAAATGAAATAAATTGGTTAAGACTTCTTTATATATTCAGAGTCCAGCTCTTTCAGATATTTAATTCAGACTCATTAGTGTCCATACTTTTGCACACAATTTCATCCTCATCAACAATGCTACTGATGCAACTTTTTAAATATAAGAAACCAAATGAAACTGCTGACATTTGTGATCAAAAAACGGCAATTTCATACAACTCAACCTAATAAGTGAGAGCTCTACCTCCAGAATTTTCTTCCAGGCTGCTGATACTCATTCTGCAAGTTTTGATACTGGTCCTATCTTGTACTCCCCCAAAGATATCAGTGAAAGGTTTATTTTGGGTTGGTTTTTTTTTTTTAAAGACAATGAAGATACTACTTTTTCAAATGGTTCTTAAATACCTTTTGACTGGAGACATCAAGAGATTGCAGTTGTCCAGTCACGCCAAGAATAATATCCAAGGTCATCCATGCACAAGCAAGGAAAGCTCTGTCACAACCACCAGCTGCCCACAAGCAACTGAAAGATGTCCTGTGGATTATGAGTGGGGTTCTAATTTTAGTAGTGTTAAAACTGGGGAGAAGGGTCTATCTTACAATTGACGAAAACAACAAAATTTTCATAATAAAATATATAATTTAATAATAATAAAATAAGAACAACATTTTGGAAGCATTCAGTAGGAGTTTCAGCGCGGCAGACGCCGCCAGCACCACTCGTCCTGCTCCCCGCACTCAGCCGCGGCCCGCGCCTCCCGCCCGATGTCCCCTGCGCTCAGTCCAGTCCGCGTCTGCTTACAGGGTGGGCCAGAAACGGTGCGGAGCTTACACCCCTGGGAGCCGCTGTCAGCGGGACGGACAGGAGTGAGAGGACAAGGAGCTCACGTCCTCACCCTTCAGGGGAGTAGCTCTGGGGCCGGAGCTCGTCGGGGCTTGAGGGCCGCTGCCCACAACAGCAGCTCCACCGCGCCCTAGAGTGGCTGGCTTCTCTCCCCTGCAGCCCTTCTCCACCGTCTGACGGCCGTTTCCTGAGATCTCCTCCCAAACAAACTACTTGGACTCAAATCCTCGTTTCAGTGCCTGCTTCTGGGGAGACGCAGCCTAAGACAACGAACAGATCTTACGGGAGAACCTTCTAGCATGTGGCCTTTCCTTCTGACAGGAAAAGTTCATGAGCTTCCTTCCCCAACCCTCACCAAGAGCGGCTCTGTCTCTCCTGCGCTTTGAGCCTGAAAGTCGCCCCCTCTTACCTTCTCCCTGCGGTCCCTGCCCAGTCTTCCCTCTGCCCTCGCAACTTCTGTCCTCTCCTTCCCAGACCGCCACCGCCATCTTCTCAGCCCTCCTCGTCGTGAACTGCGCTTGGTTTGTTTTCCCGCCAGTGCCTGGAGAACGGCACTGTGGGATATGGTGAGCCGAAAGTCCTCCCTATAAAGGCTGACCCTCTGTGGTGGGGAAGAGCTTCAGTTTGCAAGATGAAAAGATTTCTGGAGATGGTTCACAAGTTTTCTTTCTTTCTTTCTTTTCTTTTCCTTCCTTCCTTCCTTCCTTCCTTCCTTCCTTTCTTTCTCTCTTTCTCTCTTTCTTTCTTTCTTTCTTTCTTTCTTTCTTTCTTTCTTTCTTTCTTTCTTTCTTTCTTTCTTTCTTTCTTTCTCTTTTCTTTCTTTCTTTCTTTTCTTTCTTTCTTTCTTTTCTTGTGTTACAAAAGTTAAATTTGAAGTTGGCGGTGTGAGGCCGTGAGCGACGGGAACGGGTCTGATGCGAGACCAGCACAGCTGCGCATGCCCAGTGAGAACCCTCCCCTCCCTCTCCACCGCTTCCCCCCTCCCCTCCTCTCCCTACCCTGCCCCACCCCTCTGCGGAGGGCCCTATAAAATGGCCCTGCCCAAGGCCTGTCACCGAAAGCGTGTGCTCTAGATATCGGCTTCGCACCTTTATTCTCTCATCAAAGACTAAAGCTTTCTTTTACTTCTGAATCAGAAAAAAAATTCAATTTAATTAAGTAATATTAAATGAGTAAGTGATTTTATCCCTAGGAGACTCATGTTTACAGGTCAACATGCAGCAGAGATGTTCAGAATGTCTCAGAATACATGCAGCCTGTTAGCAAACACATCTCCTTAAATGGTCAAGCAGAGTTATCAAGAGGCACAGAGGTATGCAGAATGGCCAAGAAGCATACGAAAAGATGCCCATCATTAATCATTAAGGAAATGCAAATCAAACCCACAATGAGGTACTTCTTGGTCATCTCAGGCTAGCATAAAAAATACCACAGACTGGGTGGCTTATCAACAAGTATTTATTTCATACTGTTCTGGATGCTGGGAGTACAAGATTAGGGCGCCAGTGTAGACAGGTTACAGTGAAGGTCCTTTTCCAGGTTGCAGATAGCTGCTTCGCAGCCAATCCTCACATGGCAGAAAAAGCAAGCTAGCTCTCTGGCTTCTTCTTACAAGGTCACTACTCTTATTAATCCTCATGACCTGATTACCTCTTAAATGCTCCATCTTCAAATACCATCACACTGGGATTAGGATTTCAACATATAAATACTCAGTCCATAGCAGGTATCACCTCACACCTATGAGAATGGCTACTATCAAAAAAAAAAAAAACAGAAAATAAGAGTTGGCAAGGATGCAGAGAAATTGGAACCCTTATGCACTCCTGGTAAGAATGTAAAATGGTCCAGTTGCTATGGAAAACAGTATGATGTTTCCTCAAAAGAGTGAAAATAAAACTACAATATGATCCACCAGTCTCACTGCTGGGTACCCCAAAGAATTGAAAGTAGGGACTGGGACAAATATCTTATACACCTATGTTCACAGCAGCATTATTCACAATAATCAAAACACAGAAGCAACACATATCCATTAATGAACGAATGGATAAATGAAGTTTGGTGTTTACATAAATGGAATATTATTCAGCCTCACAAAGAATGGAAATCCTGTATCGTGCTACAACATGGGTGAACCTTGAGGACATTATGCTAAGTGAAATAAGCCAGTCACAGAGGGACAAATACTGCATGATTTCACTTGTATGAGTTATCTAAAATAGTCAAATTCATAGAAACAGAGTGAAATCGTTGTTACCAAGGGTGAGAGGAGAGTGAAATGGGGAGTTATTGTTTAATAGGTGCAGAGCTTCAGTTTGCAAGATGAAAAGATTTCTGGAGATGGACTGTACAACAATATGAATGTATTTAACACTACTGAACAGGACACTTTAAAATGGTTAAGACAGTAAGTTTTATGCTGTGTGTATTTTACTGCAACTTAAAATAAAAATTAAAAAGCAGTGGCACTTTTTGAATTGGAAGGTGGGGCAGGGGAGACATGAAAAACTGAAACATTTCTTACCCTCTATTGTACAATTCTACCTTAGTATTAATAGACAAAAAATATTAAATGAGCCAGGAGATGCTCTATGGGCAATTCTGGGCCAATGTTTAGGTCTCAGTAGAAGCAATAATAAAGCTCACAGAACACAAAGCCCTTCTGAGCAGGACTATTTCTTATGCTTGTTTTATGGTCCTGCAGCTCTGATTATTTATACACAATTAGAGGTGAATAAAAGTAACACAGGATATTTTGCTTTGTTTTTCTTTCTAACAGAAGAGGAAAAACTCATAGAAAGAGGGACAATGTCAAACAATCCCTTGGTTAGAAATCTCTTATTAAAATAAAAGACTAAAGCAAACATCTTTTTTGTTATAATGATCCAGTAACATAAAAAGACACAAAATTAAAAGCACACAATGGCTTATTGGTGCAACCAAGCCAAGGGTAGCAATGTTTACTGAATTATTAAATGAGCAATTATGATAACCTACGATATTAAAGACAGTTGTGTCGGTAAAGCCTGGTGTATTGTTCTCCAGGGGGCCACCCGACAGGGTTGCCTTCACCACCTCCTTCCCTGGCACAAATGGATTTGACTACACAGATGAGCGTGTCCACAAGTGCCGAATTTAACAAAAGAACAACAGGCACTTATTCCCAAAATTTTGTTAGAAAAATAAAATTAAACAAACGCCCTTGCATTTCCATCCCACCAGGGAATAGAGTTTTAATGAACACACAAGGCAGCTAGGTGACATCTTTATCAGCCCTCATAAACCTTGATTGAACACACAGTGATAAGGCCTGTTTAAACTGTGTTCCAGATAACAGGCCTGGAGTCAGAGCGGCCTTAGCAACCAGCCGGGAGAGAGGCCTCCCCAAAACCCAGAGTTTGGCAGGTGAGGCAAAAAGCCACAGGTCCCGGCACTGGTTTATTTGGAGTGAAAAGAGGGGGGCAGGTAGGTGGGTACAGGTCCTTCCCCCTGCTTTATCTTGGAAGGAGACTTTCTCCTGGACCAGCTTTCGGGGTGAGGGAGATGCTTTAAGCCCCAGTGACCTTTAGCATTTACATCTGCAAACACAGAGAACTCCAAAGGGCCGGTTTTAAAGGATTTGGAATGGCCAGCTCTGGTTTTCTTTCCACCAGCATCATAAATGCATGAAAGGTACAGACATCTAAAAAGGACAGGGAGCCATGGGGGTTTGCTAATAAGCTTCCAGTCTGATTCCTGTAACCCTTTCTTTTGATGCTCCAGCACATCCAATCACTACTTGCTTCTTGCCTTCAAGCCTTCCCAGTTCAGAGCCCACAGTGACCCCCACAGGCTGCAGCCGCCAACACCTTTCATAGGATAGGCTAAAATTCGGGGGAACATTGGAGAGCTAGTCTCAGCAGAGGAGGACGTTCCCCCGTGAGGCAGGCTGAAGTCCACTTCCCTGCAATAGCGCCAACTGCTTTGAGCGGGGACTCACGGCCCTGGTTCTAGTCCCAGGCTTCTCCGACTAACTGGCAGTCCTCGGAGACAGCTTGTAACTTCTCTGGGTCTTTCTTTCTTCAACTGAAAGAAGAGGCAGTTGGACTGGAAGATCTTTCAGATGTCTTTCAGGTCTAAAATGAAAATATTCCATTAAAAAACATTTTTCCATAGTCCCCTAAGCTCCCTCTCTCCCAATTTTTTGATAACATTTAATTACCACAAGGGGTTTATCTTCTAGGTCAGGGTGAACTATACATTAGGTTATTTCCTACATCACCGAGACACTGGTTTTCACAATAACCTCCAACACATGGATGACAATAAAATTTCTCCTCTTCTCCCCCTACCCCTCCCCTCACATTAGACATGCCTCCAATGAGGGCAAAGTCAGACCCCTAAGATGACTTCCTGCAGGTCAGTAACCTAGAACTTTGGCAGAACAGTGGTGGAAGGAAGTTTTTCAGCTGGGAAATTCCACTGCTCAATGGAAAACACCTGGCCTCTGTGATATTCAGGGACTTGTATCTTCAGATGAGTTTGCAACAGAATGCAAGCTCTTTTGACCCAGGAGATAAATAGGAAGCAAGGTCATCTCCAGGGAAATTTGGATTTTAGGATAATAACCTGTCTTTGGAGCTATACCCAGCACTCACTCCATGCCAGCAATTTCCCTTGAACATTTACTTGGAACTTTGTATTTGTTAAGTGATTTTCCATCACTTTGACATGTCTACATTCCCACAGCAACACTATGGTTAATATTACTTGTGACTTTTTTTTTTTTGGCGAAGAAGGGATTTTATGTACAGAGAGAGAAAAGGAAGTGAATTGACAAAACTAAGTAACAAATAACTAAGGCAAGGATTCTGGTTTTATGGGAGACAATCTTATACACATCAATACACTGTGTATATTTTCCAAACCCAAAACTAGCCATGAGGTGTGATGGCCATGGATGGGCTTTTGAGGGCCATGTGGCAGAACAGCTAAAACCCCAGCTGCCTGAGGCAATCTCACGTAGGCATCAAACCCTCAGGGTTCTTGGTAAGCTAGATCCTAGGATCCGTCCCACAGGGCAGAGACACAGGGCAGTCAGCACACTCGTGGACTGACCCATCACAATGTTCATGCATCAGAAGGGGGAAGAAGTAGACCTCCGGGGAGTACCAGTTAACCTAACATGATGCCCTTATGCCCCTTCTCACATTCAGAGAATCTGCGTCTTTCCACACCATTTCTAGACTTAGGTTGCTGATACGATTTATCATCCAAACAGGGCATCTGAAAGCCTATTAGTAATTACAGCACGCATCAACTAGGACTTGCCCATGAAAACAGGACATCTGGTCACCCTGTTGACATATCCGAAGGACCCTGAGACACTCATTCCTGCCTCTTACGCAACTCAACCTAAATTATGTTTCCAGATTTTCCTCTTCTCTATGAAAATTCAATTATGTCCAGGTTTAGACTATTAGAATTTTTATCCATCCCTTCCTTCAGCAAATACTTCTTGATCCCCTGCTACGTGGCAGGCGCTGCAATATCTGCTGGTCCCTGTAGTATAGTGACACATAGATTGGGGTTAGAATATTGCCTTCACCTTGAGGACAGCACCAGCCTC